ATTTAACTCTTGCCTTAGAGGTATTTTGAGTTTATCAATATCGGTATTAGGACTTTGTACATTGTACTTTTTACATATAATCAATGGAAACAACATTGTCGCAGAGCATTTAATATTGGCAGCGATACCCTTCCATAGGAATGGAGATATATTTAAACGGTTTTTAAAATCGGGAAAAAAAATTGTGCAAGCTAAAAATGCAATTTTTTTGAACAATCAGGAGCCATAATCCAGGAAGTTACGTTCAGATACGCGCGATTATCAAAAGGAACCAAGATCTTAGTGTGTAATGGTGATATATTCACGTTTTTTTTTAAATTCTGTAAAAATTGTGACCTCTACTGGGACCACAAACTAAAAACGTCATTTTTCGTACAATCTGGGGCCATAATTCAGGAAGTTACGATCTGATATGCACGAATATCAAAAGGAACCAACATCTCTGGGTTATAAACATGTATTTCAAAACATATATTTCAAGTTTCATCAAAATTGGATCAAAATTGTGACCTCTAGAGGGTCCACAACCTTGATATACCAGATGTTATACACTATAAGCGTAGGAGGGGCGGCCATTTTGTCTGGCAATTTTGGCCCGATTTTCTCGAAATTCAATCTCAATGAACATTACGGTGTATAACGGTGATATATTCGACCGTTTTTTTTTAATCGGATAATAATTGTGACCTCTAGAGGGCCCACAAGCTAAAAACATGATTTTTCATACAACCAGGGGCCATAATTCAGGAAGCTAATAATAATAATAATAATGAAGTTTTATATAGCATCTTCTCCATGTTGACACATACTCAAAACGCTTTTAGTAATGGCTCTACTCAGTCTACTGGTAAAACTGTCGAAACAGGAAAGTCTTTAGTGCGGATTTAAATTGATTAAAAGTAGATTCTTGATCTGTTGTGAAAGTTCGTTCCGTAATCTAGGACCAGTTGAACTGAAAGACCTATAGTTATTATACCCAAATGACTTTAAATTATACCTTCGCACAACTAGTGACTGTTTATTTTGAGAGCGAGGTGATCTAATAGGGTTGTAGTCATATAAGAGTTCAGATAAGTATTGAGGATCTGCATTATTGTGACATTTATACACTAATGTTAGTATTTTGTATTTGACTCGCGCCTCGACGGTAACCAGTGTAAAGAAGGTAGCACATTCTGGATAGTCTCTGATGTTGCATATACAGCGTAGATGATAGTAGCATGTACAGCATACCATATCAACCTGAGTGGCCATTGTCAGAGAAGGATCAAATATCACTCCAAGGTTTCAAACATTTTTGGAGAAATTTATTTCTGAATTACCAATGGTGATTTTAAGATCAGGTAGTAACTTGAGTTGATGTGATGAACCTACTAACAGAGCTTCTGTTTTATCGTCGTTCAATTTTAGTTTGTTCGCTTTCATCCACTGTATAACTGCCAGCGAACAGTCAGTAGTTTTTTGTAAGGTATCTCTGATTAGCATAGGATTAGACACACCAATGAGTTGAGTATTATCCGCATAAGAGTAGTGCCTCTGATCATAGCCACCGATCACAGACCCCAAAGCGGTTGTATAAAGAACAAAAAACATGGGTCCTAATACACTGCCTTGCGGTACGCCACAGTCAAGTTTAAATGGTAGAGATTTAGCCTCACCAAGTAGAACTGTTTGATGTCTATTACTAAGATATGATGTGATCCATAAAAGCGGTGTACCGGAAATCCAAAACTGGTTTTTCAGTCATCCGATATGCCTGAATATCAAAGTGTTCAGATGCGCTTAACAATAACAAAGTAAAATACAATTTATAATAAAAAAAGAAATTCCTAAAAATTAAATTTATAATAAAAAAGAAGTTCCTAAAAAGTAAGAAGAGAGAGACAATGTAAAAATGATATAAATTTTTTTAAAACTACCCACAAAACAGTCAAATGTGTAAAATCAGTAAAAAGCGTGTTTGAATAAATGAGTTTTCAAGTGTAATTTGAATGTAATGATGGAAGGTGATTTCCGAATAAAATAAGGTAATTTATTCCAAATTAACAGTGCATAAAATGAAAAGGCCCTCTCGCCATAGGATGCTAGTCTGGCTTGAGGTTGTACTAACAGTAAATCGTCACTAGAGGACCTTGTGTTTCTCACCGAAGTGCGGATTTGTATCAGTTCAGATCAGTATGGAGGTGCGAAACGATTGAGACATTTGTATGTGATTAACAATATTTTAAAATCAATTCTGAATGATACAGGAAGCCAATGAAGGGTGTAAAGAATTGGAGTTATGTGCTCATGATAACCCAAACCAGTAAACAGACGTGCTGCAGAATTTTGCAGTTTTTGTAGTTTTGAAAGTAGTTTATCTGGTAGACCAGTTAACAGGGAGTTCAAACAATCAAGACGGGAAATAACAAGAGATTGAATTAAAGTTCTAGTCTAAGTACATGTAGCATCAACAGATAAATATTTACGTATTCTGCTGATATTGCGCAGATTATAGTTGATAGCCATTCTTACCAATATTATTAACATGATTTTCCATTGTAAAATGTGAAATAACAAGAGATTGAATTAAAGTTCTAGTAGCATCAACAGATAAATATTTAAGTATTCTGCTGATCTTGCGCAGATTATAGTTGATAGCCATTCTTACCAATATTATTAACATGATTTTTCATTGTAAAATGTGAGTCAAAGATGGCTCCTATGTTTCTTGCAATAGGTGATGGGGATATAACAGTTTTACACACACGAATTGAAGGATCAGAGTCAACTTTACTAAGACCATTTTTAGAACCAATTTGTGTATATTCAGTTTTGTCATCGTTTAAGAAAGTTTGAAGTCATCCAATTTTTAATGTCATCTATGCACTGTTCGAGTTTTGACTTTGAAAAAGTGAGATGATTGTTAACAGAGGGTTTGAATGATAGATAAATCTGAGTATCGTCAGCGTATAATTGAAAACACAGTCCATGTTTACGTACTATGTCTCCAGGGAGTGAAGTATAAAGACTAAACAGTGTCGGTCCCAGAACTGATCCTTGCGGAATGCCACAAAAAAGAAATTTTTAGGTGAAGCGTGATCACCAACTATAACTGTTTGATCTCGATTTGTTAGATACCAAACACATTCTGTAGTCGATTTAGGAGTATTAGATGGTCAGCAGTGTCGAAAGCTGCTGATAAGTCCAGTAGTACAAGTAGAACAAGTTCACTCTTATCTACAGATAAGTTGATGTCATTGTGTACACGTATGAGAGCTGTTTCTGTGCTATGGTATTTTCTGTAGGTGCTTTGGAACTTTTCCAATAAATCATGATCACTTATATGAGACACTAACTGTTTTGAAATACAACGTTCTAAAAGCTTCGATATAAAACTTAAATTAGACACTAGTCTGTAGTTTCTTTCAAGATTTATGTCAAGACTGGGCTTTTTAATTAAAGGAAATACAATGGTATGCTTAAATACATCAGGGACACAATTTTCACTTTTAGCAGAATTGATGATATCGGTAATATTACTGGAGAAAACACATTAAGATTATCCACTATGAATTTGGATGGAATAGGGCCCAAGAAACAAGTAGTTTTAGAAGATTCTTTCACTAATTTTTTAATATCATTCTCACTGACAGTCTGAAACCTGCACAAAGTCAGAGGGATTTGACAATCGCAATTGGGTTATAAACATGCATTTCAAGTTTCACCAAAATCACAGCAAAATTGTGACCTCGTGAGGGTCTACAACTTTGATATACAAGATGTTTAGACTAATTGTGTACGAGGGGCGGCCGTTTTGTCCGACAATTTTCACGAAATTCGGTGTAACCGTGATATATTTTTAAATCGGATAATAATTGTGATCTCTCGAGGGACCTCAAGCTAAAAATGCCATTTTTTTCGTACAATCAGGGGCCATAATTCAGGAAGTTACGATCCGATATGCGCGAATATCGACAGGAACCAAGATCTTTTGGTTATAAACTTACATTTCTAGTTTCATCAAAATCAGAAGAAAATTGTGACCTCTAGAGGGTCGACAACCTTGATATACCATATTTTTTACACTATTCGAGTACGAGGGGCGGCCATTTTGTCTGTCAGTTTTGGTCCGATTTTTACGAAATTCGAACTCAACCACCCTTACAGTGTAACAGTGATATATTCGAATGGATTTTTAAATCGGATAAAAAATTATGACCTCTATAAGGTCCACAAGCTAAAAATGCGATTTTTCGTACAATCCGGGGCTATAATTCAGGAAGTTACGGTCTGATATGCACAAATTTCGAAAGAAACTGGGATCTTTGGGTTATAAACTTACATTTCAAGTTTCAACAAAATCGGATAAAATTTGTGACCTCTATAGGGTCCACAAGCTAAAAACGCAATTTTTCGTACAATCAGGGGCCATAATCCATGAAGTTACGGTCCGATACATGCCAATATCGAAAGGAACCAAGATCTTAGCCTTAGGGAGATAAACCTATATTTCAAGTTTCGTTGAAATCGGATAAAAATTGAGACCTGTAGAGTGTCCACAAACAAATTGTGGACGGACGGACAAACACGAGCGACTTCATAATTCGACCACATGAAAATGTTGGCGTATAAAAAATTAAGTCTAGCTATTAGCTAACACATCACACAAATATTGGAATACAACTTAAGTTATTTGTGATTGTGATGGATTTATTCATTAGGTTGACATTATTTTGTCCCTCTAATATTCCCGATAATTCAAATTGCTATATTCTACAATTTGATTATTGTTTATAGCCTATTGATATACTGCTTACATTTTATGTAATAAAAAATTATTGTCAATCTTGTGCACTTTTATTTCCAATATGGCGTCGAAACCAAAGCGAAGAAATCGGACAAAATGGTCGGCCATTTTGAATATTACTTCCGTCTCCTTCAAAATATTGTAAATGAACTGAAACATTACAAGCAAAGTTCGTGAATTCTACTTATCCATCAATACAAAAGAAACGTGCCTTCTTTTTTGCTCATCCGGTTCATTTTCTTTTCTTCTTGACCATCGAATTCATGTAAACAGAAAATCCGACTCGCTTCCCGAATGAATGGTAAATATAAAGGGGAATAACTCTCTTGAAAACGGCGAATCGGTTAGCTACACAATAAATAGGCCCTACTGATATATAAAGATAAACTGGTTATATAAATGAAATAAATCATATTCAATGAACCTTTTGCTTTGTTTGTTTTTAATATTTTGAGGCAAATGTAATTCGTGAAATAATGAGGTGTGTGTGCTTGCATAACAAATATGTTTCCACTTCCACTTTAGCGGAAATGAAACAGCCACAAACGCAGGTGTTGTATCCGGTTCCGGTGAATGACGGAAAATTGACAATAATAATTACCGAAGATAGTAAGAAGATAGAATAGGAGAAATAAAGATAGATAGAAAGATAAAATGAACCCAGCGGCTGTAGCAGCACCAGTAGAAGATGTCCAGGGGGACGGACGATGGATGAGTCTGGTAAATTAAATCTACAGGCTACAATTAATGAATTATGTTTATTACATTTTTGCAGCTCAACTAGTCCTAACTGGGAGTGGATGCTTGATTGTCTTGAAATAGCAAAAACCATGTCTACTGTCTGAACCTTCCTATTTTTTAAAATGATTTCTTCGATTATGAACAAACTATGTAACTTTGGATATTATAAACATACCTGTGTGTTTGAAGTCAACTCAGGTTAAATAAAATCCATTGCACAATTAAATATCCCAACAAATAAAAAAGTTCTCTCTTGAAAAATTTGACGTGTTTACTTATATTTTCGACTGAGTACAAGACAACACTGTTTTCGCCACCTGTTGGGCGAAACCAATGAGGCTGTTGTGGGGGGTGGTTTGACAACCATGTATTGCAATGAAAACAAGCAGCGATCATTTTGATAGTTTGAGTTTGGGGCAACGAAAAATATCAACTAAAGGCAATTACATAGAAGATTTATATTGAAACCAACCATTGATGGCCAGACTACCAAATTTTATTCACAATGAAAATATCAATGATTGCACGGATTCTCGTAAAAATAAAGTCATATATAAACTAAAACTATCCTATCTTCTTTATATTATAAATACCATAACTTAAAAAACAACATGGGTACAATTTTAAAGCCTGTTAAACGAATGTCATTATTTTTGTGCCGCATTTGTGTTCAAAAAAGAATTCTCACATCCGACTAATCAAATAATTAAAACAAAACCTATAAACAGGGATTTTACTAGAATGTAAAAAGATGGTAACAAAATAAAGGGATGAACGGACAAACTCAATACCAAGTCGAGACCGATAACTTATACCATGAATTGTCGTAAATGTACCGCAAACCGTTTCGACATGCCACCCCTTTATACGAAATGATCTCTCCCGAAGAGTGACGTAATCAGGCTCCATTTTGGTAAGTCTATAATAATCGAAGTTAAATAGTTTATTCACAATCGAAGAAATCCTTTTAAAAAATAGGAAGATCCAGACAGTAGGCCTAATTTTTTACCAAATTTACAAGAATATGTCTTATTGAAAGATCAACTTGGCAACTGTGCCCGCTACATTCATCACAAAATAAATGTTTGTTTAGCTCATAAAAATGCATAATAATGCTTGGTTAATATCAATGAACAAATGTCAAACCTCAACTTTGTAATGATTGTCAGTTGAATGTGTTTGATCAATTAGAGTAATAACAACGCAGATTAACTGGTAAAAGAAGTGTGTGAATTTCACACATTTTCATGATTGACGTCCATATCTAGCTAAGAAATGTTTATGGCATTCAAAATTAATAGCAGTGTTTCAGTATATGTTCAACTTTTGCGAATGAACAAGACAGAAAATAGTGTCATTGTTTTTTTATTCGTTGCCACTGTCCATTCACATTTTGTTTGTGCACACTCTACAGGTCACAATTTTTATAAGATTTTGTCAAAACTTATAGGTATATATCCCAAATATATAAAGAAATCAAATGAAATCAGGTTATAAGGTCCATGGTTTAACATACTTCTTATAGATATAAAGAGGCTCTTTTCAACATTGGAATCTTATGGCCCCTGATTGTACCAAAAATCACGTTTTAGAGGTCACAATTATTATTTGATTTTAAAAAAATTACAGTTGAGTTTGAATTTCGTGAAAATCGGACCGAATCTTCCCGTCAGAATGGCGACTCCCCTTTACACAAATAGTGTTAAACCATGTAATATGTCGACCTTCTAGGGGTCACATTTTTTAGACGATTTTTATGAAACTTAAAATGTATGTTCATATCCCAAAGATCTCAGTTCTTTTTGTCCCCCGCCTTTTGAAGAAAGCAGGGGACTATTAAAATGGGTTCGTCCGTCTGTCCGTCCGTCTGTGTCTCTGTCTGTCACACTTTTTGGGAACACAATAACTCTCATTCGAATTGATGTAGAATGTTCAAACTTGGTGTAGGCTTTCATTAGGTGAATGCCTTGATGGAGTTCGATTATGAACATTGTATGCTTACGGTAAGCAGACATAAGCAATCTGATTGGTTGATGCTTTGGGGCACGATAACTTTGGTTATAATGAAGTGAGAGCAATGAAACTCCGAATATAGATTCATTATATCATTACCTTGACTAAGTTCGATGGTGAGAATTTTCTGCATAGGCTAAGGAGCGATAAGCAATTTGATTAGTCAAGACTTTGGAACATAACAACTCTGCTTTTAACTAAGGTAGAATGTTTAAACTTGATGTAGATGTTCATTAGGTGAATGTCTTGACTGGGTTCAATGATTTACATTTCGAGCTAAAGCTAAGCAGAGCTTATCAATTTCATTAGTCGATGCTTTGGGACAAGATAATCTTGATTCTATTTGATAGAGAGTGATGAAACTTAGTGTATAGTTTGATTGCTGAATACTTTTGAAAAAAATAAATGTGCTATTAATTAATGTGTTATCTATTTACTTTGGGATTTCGGCAGGGGACATCAGCCTCACTGTTCGCTTGTTGATATTGATGTATGTCGGACCATAGCATCCAGGATTATGGCCCCTTATTGTACAAAAATGGCTTTTTTAGCTTGTTCTGTGTCCATCTCTTGCAAAAGTCCATATCTTGCATGGCAACAGCTTGTTTAATTTTTTTATGCATAGATCATTATTTTTTTTTTAATATAGCATCATCTGTTTTTAAATGAAGCTAAAGAAAGAGAACCTGAGGTTATTTTTATCGGTGATTCGATTGTATCAAATCTTGCTCAAACCCAGGTATGTAATTATCGGCCTGCATTTGTGATGTCCATGGCCTATAAAGATAAGAGGGTGGAACCACTAAATACCAGTATTTCTTTTTGTGAGGGGTAAGCTGGGAAGTTGGGAATAGCGGGAAAGAGCTTTATTTTCACTTGACTAGGCCTGATTTTTGTTGGACCTGCAATATTTTCGATACTGCTGAAGAAAATTACCGGCACTTAAAGATACATTGTCCCGAAAGTATTTATCGGGAGGTTATTTCCAATAAAAGTGTGGCAAATTTGGTATATATGGAAAGTATAGACACCCGATCTTACTAGAAAAATACTGGATTACCCAAAAAGCACCCATGGGGAAAGCACTGGGCAAAAATGTCAGGGTATCACTAAACTGGCAACCTGACTGTTGTCTGTCAGCTTATTGTGTGCTAGCTTGTTATTTCTTGATGAAATGGTGAGGCAGTTTTGGGAACATTGAGGCGTGTCAACGTACAAAAGACTCTGAAATTAAACGGCAGAAATAGAAGTTGACAGAAAATAATTAAAAATGTACTTAGGCCTCAATATGTCCAGTAAATGGACAGTAAGTTATGTAAAATACATTCTGAAAAATGAACTCTCCCTTGATGAAGTGAGCTGACAGTAATGACGGCTAACAACAGTTTATTTATAGTATGCTGTGTCTCTCCATGAAAACAAAATTTTGAGAGGGATTTGAAGCAAATTTTTAATAGATTAATTAGTTTGAATATGTTTTTAGTCTAATCATATCATCAAATCACTCAGTTTGTAAGCGAGAAGTTATCATTAAGGTTTTGTACTTGACAAAGCCAAAATTTATGACCAACTTTGTCAGGGACATGGCTTATTTGCCTGTTTATAAACTACCGCATGTAGAAACCAAGAAATCCCATTTACACACTGGATCTCTTGACACCATGACCCAACTCTGTGGTAGTTAAGTGGTGAGGGTACTGGACTTTGAAAGTGTTGGGTTTCAATCCCACATGATTTTTTAAGCCTGGTTACTACATGCCAGTAGCACAGCCGAAACTAATATGGATAAAATAAAAGCCTCATCATTCAGATGGGATGGGAAAATCGAGGTCCAACCCATGTACACACTGACATTGGAAGTTGGTAAATAGTCTAGGCAGAATTCACCTCCAAATCATAGCAGATGTGACTCTAGACAAAAAATTAAATGCGTGTTAGTCTCAAACTATTGTAAAAGTCTATTCCATTAAGATGTAAATTACCAGATTTAGTACAGAACACTTGTATTGTGTGCGAACAACAATTCAGTTTCTGGCCATATCATCAACAAGTGGTAGTGAAACATGAAAAAAGCAATGTTAAATTTGAGTATTTTTGTTTTTTGGGTAGCTATGGCAACAGATGTTTGAACCGTTACATTGTATAAATTTTGGTATTGGAGGAGACCAAACACAACATATTTTATGGAGAATTCAAAATGGAGAATTGGAGGACATGAGACCAAAGGTAGGTTCGGCCATCTTAGTATTATACTAGACTGGCCTACAGAAGATAATACTAGTTTTCTCATGATACTGTACTAATTTGATTGACAACTTAAACAAGTCACTATTTTCCTTAGCATTTTGCAATAGCAATGGTGACTTACCTCCTGTTATTAATACAAAATCAAAGCACTGGTACACATGTACCTTTATACATCAAATTTAGACATTTTCAACTCTAAAATAATTCAAAGCTTTCCAACCAAATTAGTTAGATATTTTAGTAGGGTGTTATTTATTTGATCAAATAATGTTGAAATACCCCACAGAGGCAGCTGTGGCAGCAACTAATAGTGGCATGTTTTTAAAACATTTTCATCTTCTTTTCTTAAACTGCTTGATGAATCTCCATAAAATTTTATACATGTAAGTGTGTTGCTTAGGTGGTGCTTATCCAAAATTGTTAAAATATAGTTGCTTGGACCTACATGTGAAAGGGTTGGGAAGGGACAAATTTAGACTATTTTTGTAAACCACTGAATTGATCTGAACAAAATTTAACAGATTTTTTCTATGTCCTGATTGGTTTAATTAATGCACATGTCCAGCCCCATTTAGCAATTTTGTTATTACTACTTAAACATCATTGTGTAGGAATGTTGGTTTTAATGTACTATTGAGATTGTGTGTAAAATATGAAAGAGAAATTATTAATGTATTGATAGCCAATATAAGCCACCCAAATGATTAGGACCATTTGGCCAATTGTTGAAATTATAAGGGATTCAGTAGTCTTTCTGTGCACTATGATGTGCCGTAACAGTAGCACGAATATTTCAGGTGGTAGTTTTAATGGTGGGGACGAATAATCATGGTCATACAGCCGAACAGATAGTTGGTGGAATAACAGAAATCGTAAATCTTATACATACCAAACAACCACAGGCACAGCTTATTGTCATGGTAACATTTTCTTACAGTGTACTTTCGACATTTTCAGACTGGGGTGGGGGGGGCGCTCTGAATGTTCTAAGGCATAAAAATTAGATTAAAAGGTCTGTTACTGAGTCAAGTTTTATGGTTTCGATTCCCCGCTTGTAACTGGCAATGAGTAGGGTCACCTGTCCAACCACGTGGGTTTTCTCTGGGTCCTCAGATTTCCTTTCCCATAGCTATGGACCCAAAGGCACAATTGAATTATTGAAATAAGGTTGGATCATGTGTTATATAATCTTGTGAGCACTTTACATACTGGAATATTATTAACCTATCTTTATGTATATATGGAGGTTCTATGAATCCTAAAAGTTTTCAACAATTTTCAATAATAACTGTGAGAATTATGCCGCTTTGTTAGAAAATATTGTTAGATCTTTATTGGTTGTTCATTCTATTATGATTTTTATACGGCCACATTGAAATGTGGTCGTATATTGTCGTGGCCCCTGTCCGGCCGGCCGACCAGCATGCACAATTGCTTGTGGACGCGCTAGAGGCTAAAGTTAATATCCTATTGATTTTCAACGATTTCCGATAATTATTGCCAAAGTTATGGCCCTTGATCACTTTGAAAAATCTTGTGACACTCTAGAGGCTAAAGTTATCATCTGATTGACTTCAGATTGATACACAGAGTTTAAGATCTTGAGACGAACAAGTATATTGATTTTCAATGAATTTTTATCACTTGAACAGCTAAATCCATGATATTAATAGTTTTGTATACTAAACATTAGCATGGGGCAGAACTTTATAAAAACCAAACAAATTCTAATGGTTTTCTGATAATTACTTCATGAGTTGTTACTCTTAATCAGATTTTTAGTGTATTACAAATGTTTCATTACTGAAAAAAGTAAAAATATGCGACAACACTTGTTGACTGCCTGGACGATTTAGCTGCTGTGGGCGTATGTTTTGTTGCCTGACAACCTATCTTTGATAATAACTCCTAGAGTTATCCCCCTTGTTACAAATTTTTATGAGTTGTTTAGCTTATAATAGCTTGGACAACTTAGCTGCTGATGCATAAAATCGGGATCTATCACAAGTTTGCGAAATTCATAGCTTTTAATTTATGATTTTTCAGGGTATTCCACCTCGAGGAGAAAAACCAAATCCACTACGAGAAAAAATTCAGCAAATAAACAAAAGTCTCGCTGATCAATTACAGGACATGCCAAATACCCTCTTCTTGAATACTGATTGGTCAGTATTTGTGAACTCAAATGGGGTTATCAACCATCATGATATGTTCGACTTTCTGCATTTAACACAGATTGGATACCAAAAAATTTGTGAGCCCTTATTAGAAGAAATACAGAATTATTTACAAACATTTATTAAGGTGGAAAGTACATCAATTGAGACAGCCTCTATGGCTGGAGAACTTGCTGGAGATAAATAATTTCTCAGTATATCTGTCAAATTCCAATCATGTTCGCTTTATGTAACATCAGTAAAATATCAAAAGACCGAAACAATTTCAAAAGAGACAAATTTATTTTAATCCAAAGAATTTATTGACATTGGTCAAGTTGCATGGATAATTATCTGTTTGGCTTATTTTCTTGTGAAATGGCTTGATATAAAATTCCTTTTGAAAAATAAACCAAGATGGCATTGATTTACGGAAAAACCCCATGATATCTAGCAGAGATATGCAGTATTAAAGTACAAATAAAGAAATTTTGAAAACAAGGACTTATGCTATGAAACATTAATTAAAGAGTAATATTGACTGATAAAAATAATGGGGGCTGTTCGCTCACCACGTCAGTTATAAGACTAACACTTCAGCATTAAGTTCCGCTTTTTGATATTTTACTGACAATGTCTTATGAATTATCACGTTTCAGCATGCTTCAAGTCCGCATAAAAAAACATTCCTTTAAGAATTGACTCTTGATTCTCCCTTTCTGTTGACTATTTCAATTTTGTATATTTTGCTTAGCAGAAATTGTTTTGTCCAAAAAGGAGTTATTCCCCCTGAATATGTCTTTGCGGAGCATGACTTTGTTGGTTGTCTATTTTCAGTCTGGTTGTAGAGATAATTCCCATGCAGAAAGTTAATCTATCATGAATTCTGGATTAGAGTTAAAATTACCTAACCCTAATCCCAGCCAAGTATGTAACTTGGTGTGCGGGAATTCCCCTAACTGACCCTCTTTCCCATGATTAGGAGATTTATATTTAGAATAATAAATAATTAATATGGATAATACTTTGTTGGTAGGAAACATCAAATGTATTTATACCTATCAAAGTATCCATAACATAAGCTATAAGTATTAGAATATATGAAATGAATTTAACTGTATTTGCTTTAATATCGATCAATCATTCCAATGCTATGAAATATATATTGTATGTAAATATTATTATTATTATTTAAGGCTGCAATGATATGGTCAAACACATATGAAATGAATTGAAATAGGGTTTAATGTCCTACTTTCCTGCACCAAACCAATGTGGTAAAACACAGATTGCATGTATTGGGGTGGGTGGCTTTTCTTCAGATTGTAAAGGCCCGTAATCGATTCAAAGTATCAAACTTCGGTATTGTTTCATTCACTACATGTAGATGTATCATGTGTTAGTCCCAAAATCACCTGGTTTGTGTTAAATTGGATGACAAAGTTTATATTTCTTTTTACCATGTCAAATAAAACAAATATTCATGTTTTGACCGAAATGTATGTAGAAACCTTTTAAAAATTTGATCCTCCCAAGAACATGGAGCTTGTAATATGTGTTTGTACTCTAGTTACAGATATATATATATATAGAAACGGTTTGATTCTGTTTTACACCTTTCAATATCATCCTATTGTTGCAGCCTTAATTATTATTAAGTTGTGGAGCTAAATGTTTAAATGAATATGTTGTATTGTACGTACATTTAAATATTGAATATTGCCATGTATTATTATTTTTTTTGTGGTTATCAGGGATATCACTACAGTTTTAATTATTACTGGTTATTGTTTATGCATTTATAACCAATTTTAAATGCATTTCTATATTATAAAGTCATTACAATGCTGTAGAATTATGAAAAAATTATTTTATTTTTTATTTTGCATATCTCACCCATCATTTTGACAAATATTATGTTTGTTTTGAGGCTGTGCAAAAAATAATGGTTGGGTAATCATTTAAAGCTGATGTTTGTCATTTGAGATATTTTGAACACCTAGTTAACAACAATATAGTGAAAGTTGAATCTCCAAATGGAATATCAGTCCAAATATCACTCAGTTTCGTTCAGTATTTACACAAATATGAATTTAAAATTTTGCCGCAATCGATATCATCTACATACGATATAAACAAGCAAGCACCACCTATAAGTCTTGGGTAAAATCTTTTGGTGAGTTTTCGTTTAATCTAAATGAATCCATCAGGGGAGATTATCTACTATTGATATTTTTGGTTGGGTTTTCTTAATTAAATGCCAAATAATCATTTTAGCATGGATAAAGCCATGAATAGTTAGATATTGTCTGCAAATGGCGATCAGCAGCATAAAAGATGAGAACACAAATTAACCTAAGAAAAAAAAGTAATTGAACAGGAACAATCATGTTTATAAATCATTTTTGTGGCTATATTTTAAATATATGCATAGACTTTACTAATCTTTTCTGTGTAACTGTTATTGGTCTTATCTGCCAATCTTTAAATTGTCCAACTGCAGAATTTACATGTCATAAAATAAAGTGTATCAAAGAATTTAACCTAAAAACACAACAATTATAGCCAACAGATATAAAGACTTAAATATTGATTTAAAAATGTTCAAATGTTTGCTTGGTGCACAAAAAATTTCCACCAAACACTCTGTTTGGTTATGTTACAATGAGTCTACTGAAACCACATTTGTTTATGCGAGGGCTGTATCAGAACTATCCCTGTAGCAATGATAGCCACACCCCCTCGACAACATCATGACTATGCATCTTTCTCCGACAAGCCAGGACTTCCGAGGTTTGCAAAAACTGCTCTGTCTGTAGGAATGTTTTAACATCACTACCATCTTTTTCATCCTGAAGAAAAGTTGTACATATATTTATAAGAAAACATTAACTTTAAATTTGACATTTTACTGAATATTTACATCCTATAAGACAGGTGTGTGACTATCAAATGACAATGTCATAATCTGATTGATTTGCTTGATGTTTGTACGTCATTCAGATTGACATCGGGGATAGGTCAATTGTGTCAATAAATGAAGTATATATAACTAAGAAACATTTGGATCAGGGGCGGACTGGGCCTCGGTCAAGAAAACCAATTGGTCTGAGTGCCAAGAGCTACCCAGTCCGTTACTGGTGGTCATATTAAATTTGAAATGTTTTATGTGTATATTTTGAATTTTTTTATTTCAAAAATCTAGTCATATATAGGTGAGGTCCCATAAATGTCTTATTTATCTACTACACATCATAGGCAGAGCCTATTGCCACATATTTATTTTTCCATATCATCACCGGCATCGCACCAACTAAATCAGATAGGTGTTTATATTGATCATTTAGCCTACTATTCCTAAACATTGATTAGGGCTTTTAGTGAGGTTTAAAAGCCAAAAGCAAGATATTATTACTTAAACTACAGATTCCACTATCACACACATGCATTTCTATTAAAATCCAATATTTCCATCATTTTGTTTAAACATATATTATGCAAGAGCTAAATCTGCCTATTGCAGGTCTTTCTTTAGGCATGAAATGTTATCTAATTATTAATTAGACATTAGTTAATTTATCCAGTCCATAATCAACTCTCGATGTCATCGCTAGCCTGCAATATTTACTGGATTAGGATCCGATCTGCTGCCCTATGCTCATTCATGATTAAATCAAGAAATGGATAATCAAGGCTATGTATTTTATTGTACCGACTTTAGTAATGATGATCTAGGCTAGGCCCAAAATTCAATCGATAAATTCTCGGTTAAGAGTGGATCAATTTTCAGCAAATTGCCTTTACATTATCTAGTTTTTAACTATTATAATGAGAACTGTCAGCTCTTTATCTAATCTCCCATAATGTATCTTTAAATAATTTAAGATTGGCACAGTGCTGGCATCATTATTTTGGATCACTGTTCCTTTCTTTACTAGTAAGATGGCTTACAGAAGAACCACTCAGCAAAATGTAAACACAACAAACAATACAGAGTTTTAAAATTAAATCTCCCAGTAGTTAATATTGTATCTTAGTTGTGTCTTTTATTTGGTACCAGTAGCAGCCTTTCTTGCTAATATTTTATTATTGTTTTGATATTCTTACAGATATTAAAATTTAGGAGATTTATAGAATTCAAGAAAATGTGACTGGTATGTAGAAAAAAAAAATGCTTTGTTAGTGCTGTGTAACACTTCTGTCTCCACCAAATGGATTATAGACAAAAAATTTCTTTCTATGTGGACGAAATACTCTATTTTCTTTTAAGAAATAATTGTACAATGTATTATATTTTTCTTGTCAGTATTGTATAATCAGGTATAATGTTATTATTATGTTTATTATGGCAATCATATTATATTATTTATAGTTATTAATACAATTTGGGAAAATAAGCTTATGTTAAAGATGTTCCCGTGAGGTTATTTATCTCATACAACCTAAAATCTTATAATTATTGTAAGTGTACAGAAGAAAACTATACTCCTAGTTCAAATTATGAAGTATGTATCTACCGTGAAATATCCTCTTAATGTCATGGTTGTTGTTAAAACATAAAAGCACTGAACTCTACCATGCTTGTGTTATTGCTAGGGATGGCAGATACTAAAAAGATTCAGTGGTTGCAGGGTTTTTATTTTGAATTCTAGACAATGAATAAAATATTAAAAACTGCAATTGTGGGAGTTATTCATTAAATATGATATGTATCTGGAAATTAGTTAATTTATTTACTGTTTACCCAGTAATGTGTTCATTTTGTTGATATATATGATGTTATATGGTGCACATAATATTGTAAAAGTCCATATCTATAGAACAAGTAAATGCTCATCAAATAATTGGTTTTTTTTTTATTGTTTTTATTCCAATACACATTATTTTTGTAATGTCACAGATTTATCACATAAATCTAATATCTTGACTGGGTAGCTGAGTTTGTTATATTGCAGAAGATATCTAACTACCTCCCCAATGACAGCACTTCTAAGTCAGTGCATCTGAACAACTGAGGTTATTCCAAAATTGTATGCGGTTTACATAGATCTGATATAACTCAAACGTCCATTCGGTCCTGGTGTTGGCAAAATAGATTTACCAGCCTGGTTTTCCAGGGGGGAAGCTACATAAACAATTTGTAAAACAACACTTTTTATGAGAAAAGTGTCATGGTTGGTTGTGTGCTTTATCCTTTATCATCAGATGGTGGGATGAAATGGGCATTCAAAGCATAGATAAAGAAAGGAGGAAAGGACATATGTGACCTCACCATTAATGCCTTGCATCAATGAAATTGAATCACAATGTGATCCTATTAATTCATAATAAAAATTGATTTCTCTCTTTAAAAAGCCTGATGTGTATGTACATTATGTACATATGCCAAAATGAGGATAAAGACAATGTTTTTCTCCAAAGTTTTCAAGATCAGTCCCCACAAAGATTCATTGTCTCAGGAACCTGACAATTAAAGGTAGAAAATGGAAGTCAACAGAAAATAATTAAAAATGTACTTAGGCCTCAATATGTACAGTAAATGGACAGTAAGTAATGAAAAATACATTCTGAAAATGGACCCTCCTTCAACAAAGTTGTGTGACAATATGGCGTCTAACAACAGTTTATTTATAGCTTGCAGTATCTCCCAGTGAATACAATTTACAAAGTTTTCAGAGGGATTTGAAGCAAGTTTTTGATAGATTAATTAGTTTGAATGCTTTTAGTCCAAATATACCATCAAATCACACAGATTGGGGAAAGTATCTTTAAGGTTAATTAGGAGCAGAACAGTAGGACGTTAAAGGACCTAAGTCCGTAACTCAAAATCTTCGACATCGAAAACACGAATTATTGGTCAATTTAAATCAACATTGATGATGTAAACTTACCGGGAAAAGATGAGCTTCTGATATCCGATATTTAAGATAAAATAATTTTTTTTAACATTGGTACACGAATCGTGTACCATAATGCGCTTCAGCCCCAGTTGTATTGAGAGACTCGAGGGACGAGGCTAGACACATTGCACCAAATCAAATGGAGTTATGTAGACTAGAATAACTAGACGCTAGAAATTTGCACTCTATTGGGATTGCTGACTTATTTCGCCGAACATAACTGATTTGAAATTGGAGTAAAATCGGAAACCATTAAATGAAAATCAGTTTATATACATTCATATTACAGTATTATATGCGTTGCGACCCACTTTTGTGAATTTCTAGGTCCCAAATGTTAGCGATTTAGCTCCTTTAAATCCCATTTCATTTCATCTTTAATGTTCTCAGTCTCTCACCCATGGGTTCTATTTGTATTTGTGCTTTGGACTAGATAAAATTGTTGGAGACGATACCATTCAGAAAGTTTAACACTTGTCTAAATCATCCCGTGCTATTGTATTTATACTCTTCAGAAAAAGTAGAGGATATTGAAATGCAAATACCTACGCAGGTTGTGATATAATAAATAGTCATGGACATTGGACACTTGAATGCTTTGATAATATGTTCACAGATGAAAAACTTATCGCTCCAACAGAACAACTGAGCTGCACATGCGACACGCAATAGTATGGAAGACCAAATGGGACAATATTCATGATTCTTGTTTCTACATTCCAGTTTGAATATTTTAGACATGAACGCAACATTCTAAACTAATGATTCTTGTTTCTACATTCTTATGCCAACATTTCATGCACAAAATCAACATTTTAAACAAAAAAATGTCTTTATGTTTCATTTTCTGCGTTTTATCGGCAACTTTTATATATCATTAAATATTAAAATTAAAAAATAATTTCTTAATTTTACACGACAAAGAAATTAATTCATTAGTTTCTGAAAGTATCTAAAAAATAATCTGGAATTTGAACTCTTATGAAAATATTTTCTACGTTTCAAAAAGTCTTGAAGTTAAAATCTTGAAATGAAAATGTCCAGAAAAATATAATGAATTATCAACATTATTACACCAGAGGGCGTTAGCGTATGTGTACAACTTTGATACAGACTATAGATTAGAAATCAAAAATGACTTTTCTACGAGTGGAAGTGGGCCCCCTGTTGTGTTTACAGTAATTAGTTGTATGAAACAGAAATTAAGCTCGAGATATAATAACAATACAAATAACTTCTATAATTTAAACAGCTAGAAAAATTAGGACAAAGGCCTTTCTTACATATTTGATCGGGAAACGTGTTCGTCGACGTCAACGTCAACCGACCATAAGCTTAAAACACGATTTTTCGTACAATCAGGGGCCATAATTCAGGAAGTTGCGATCCGATATGCGCGAATATCGAAAAGAACCAAGATCTTTGGTTTATAAACATGCATTTCAAGTTTCATCAAAATCGGATCAAAATTGTGACCTCTAGAGGCTCCACAACCTTGATATACCAGATGTTTACACTATTTGCGTACAACTATCCATAACTATTTATAACTATCCATTTTCGAGAAATGAGATAAAAGGCTAAGTAAAGGATCGGCAGTCAGTCAATACATGTAAGATAGGGTGTGGTAAAACTGTTTTCTTAAAGGTAGCAAATGCGCTAATAATTAAACGGACTAGAATACCTCGGGAGTTTACTGATATTAGGGACATTTAAGTACTCGGGTAGCCTAGTTTGTGCCATGGACTTTTCTTTACTTAAAGATTGCTGAAATTAGTAATTCTCCTACCTTGTAACGCCTTTATCACATTTTGGGGACAGTGTTAGTGTAATATGTCTCCAGAAAAATGTCGATACTATTTTGCAATCCATATTTTACTTTACTTTAATCATACATTATTATTATCCAGGTTTCGAAACAGGTTATAGTTAGCAGCAGTATATTTTAGTCTTAAAGGGACAATAACACTCTTGCTGACTTGACAGCTCCAGAAACGACAATAGCCTTATTCTAAGTACTAGATGTGTTAGTGTCCTACCTGTTGTGTAAATTATCCATTAAATCCTATTTTACTTGTCCAAAGGATTCAAAAATATATTTAAATCCAAGTCACATTTGAAAAGCTTTACGTCAGGCTTTTCAAATCATTTAGTTGAATTTTTCCAATTTTTTAAATTAGGTGTGTTAAGATGAAATTTGTATCATCAATTAATTGGAATATTGTAAAATAGTACAATTTGTTGACCAGAATAAAGATTGGGACATATTATTCAGTTACAACAAGAGTGGTATTGAGCCTTTAACATCAAAGTGCCCAAATCTTTTGAAACACGTTACTATCAACGTAGTGATTTTAATCCGCTTCGCTGAAACAATTCTGATACTCTCTCCAGCGGTAAAAATAACGTCGCTATAAAAATGCAAATTAAGCTCAGGACCGCGGTGACCCCTGATTTTGCATGAGGAAGACGATCATGTGCAGGCACAAAAGCACATATATATGTAGAACATGCTAAGAGTCGATTTTTAGCATATATATCTGAACCACGGTACATGTTTGTAACCGGTTGAGCATAATGATTATAGCATTTAAAATCTGGGACCGAAAACAGTGATGGATCATGACGAGGGCAACAGAGGTAAATACCTCTGGAGATTTGGTGACAAAAGGAAATAATTATGTTATGTTTATAGCATGGCTTTCATGAGTTAACAGGTTTATCGTAGGTGTAGTACTTTAGGACTTCTTTCCTTGTTGGGTTTGTTTTCTTTATGATCGTAATAACACTACAGAAAAAGTGGTTCTTACAACTTTATTGTTAAGCTGTAATGACTTTGAGGGTTCCTCGTTCTCAATAATAATAGCTGCTTGGAATATCTGGGTGAGCTCTGCCCAGTCTCACTCAACATCCTCTTTTATAAGTATTTAACCCCTTAATTTCTGCACGTCTTAGATTAGCCTTGACGTTAATTTCCATCCCAAATATGTAATAAACCTCTTTATTTCACAAGACCAGAGGAGGAAACATTACCTTATTTGGTCTACCAACCATAGGACAATAAACATATAGAATTTGATGGATATTTTGACAATGGTTATGATTTTGTCAAAATATCACTGTTTTTTTATGTATATAGAGGATATTACGCATTCGTGAAAATATAAGTTTTCTTGCTTCTCGATAAAATAAAATATGTTATTCACTCTAAAACGACAAATATCCTCTATATATTCCCGTTCATTAAGTACGTGTGATTTGACTCTATAGGCAGAGTGAAGCAACAATTTTTCAAAGAACCAATATTGTCTTAAGGACAAAGGTGCTACATAGGCCGAGGTGTTAAACATGTTAACGAATGAAGCGTGCTATAAATGACTTGTAACATTGACACCTGCTCAACATGCTTGTTGTTATTGCACAGAAAACCCACCCCACTTCTCTATATGATTTCTACTAAAACTAGTGTAAACCAGCAAAAGTGTGCAATAACATTGAACGTGTTATATTTATAGCACGGCTTTCATGAGTGAAAAGGTTTAAACATCGAGGCCGAAGGCCGAGATGTTAAACCTGTTAACGAATGAAGCGTGCTATAAATGACTTGTAACATTGACACCTACTCAACTTGCTTGTTGTTATTGCACAGAAAACCCATCCCACTTCTCTATACTAGTTCTACTAAAACTAGTGTAAACCAGCAAAAGAGTGCAATAACATTGAACATGTCTAGTTATTGCACGGTTAAGCTCCACCCAATCTACTAGAGGGAAAACAATCTGCTTATTCAACGAAAAGAACAAAGGAAGATCTCCCGCCCATGTTACAATTTTTTTTTATAGCTTGTAGAAAAAAATAATGAAGACCCATTTCCTAAATATGATGGAACATAGTGGCCAAAAAATCTAATTTGACAAATTTAAAAAATGTATTTTTCATTTGGTGGCGGGCATTTCTTTCAAAATGACTGCCAAATTTGGTGATATAATACCATTTAAAAAACAACAACATTAATTTGGTAATAAAAATGCAGCGATAATCTTAAAAATTTAATTTTGAGAATTAATTCTTGGTGGTAGAAATTCAAAATTACCGTCAAAATGAAATCCAAAATGGTGGAATTTTAATTAATCGTCATTTTTTTTTCGGTTGGGTTTGGCTTGTAATATGTCGTATATATGGGTTTCGTGGTTATTGGGTTCTATTGATATAAAAAAAAAACTAATTTTGAATGGTCCAGATGGTGTAAGTATAAAATGACAAAATGGCGATGCCTGTCCTTGTGGATATTGCTTGTAATAAAGTTTTTACCGTTACTGAATTCAATAATCGGCTTAAAACTTAATTTCAGATAGGATTGTCACACATCAAATTTTGCGTAAGCTAGAAACATTACGCCAAATTACAGAAAACATTTTTATAAACTCAGGGAGAGAACCCCACCGGACCCCCAATAGAGTGAGAACCCCTCGCGAGGCCAATTTCAGGGGCGCCTGATCCCCCTAGTTTTTCTTGTGAAAAACATTACTACTGTGGCAATCACAAGAGCCTGTCGTGAAATGAATAACAGACAAATAAACCCGTGGTAACTATCGGCCTTGGTGCTACCAGGGACAGACCAGGGATCGAGGATATCTAAAGCATGATGTACCCTGTAGTTCAGATAGAGTCTCTAAAGCATGATGTACCCTGTAGTTCAGACTGAGTCTCTAAACCATGATGTATCCTGTAGTTCGGATAGAGTCTAAACATGTACCCTGTAGTTCGGATAGAGTATCTAAACTATGGTGTACCCTATAGTTCAATATACCTTGTAGTTCAGATAGAGTCTATAATCCATAATGTACCCTGTAGTCTCTAAAACAGGATGTACCCTGCAGTTTAGATAGAGTCTCTAAACCATGTTTACACTGTAGTTGGGATAAATCATAGTTTTGTAAATAGGAGGTCGATCGTCAAATGAATATGAATTGATCCCGGCCGAAATGACAGTTTCTCTTAAATGAATATATTGTTAATGCGTTTAAAATATCTGGATGCAAGAGACTTGGTGTAGAAAATTCTATGTGCACACTGTAAACCACCAATAGATGTTTTAATGGCAATAATTCATATACTTTATTTAGCTCAACGCAAGACTTAAAATGAATAGATACAGTTCATTTAACTTGAATGTAGATATTATTTATCTATGTTGCATACATGGCACCTTTCGGTTGAGTCACATCAAAAAAATATATCTTATTTCATAGTTTTACGTCTTTTGTGGACATTAAAGTGTACTTGTTCGATTGTTCCATTTAGCCTATGAATTCTCTTGTTTCACTTGACTAAAAAAACATTTTGTAGGAATGCAGGCTTTTATAGATAGAAAGGCGGGGGGGGGGGGGGGGTGTTACACTGATTTTGCACTGACTTAACGTTACAATGATTTTAAATGTTTTATCCATTAGTCATTTTAAAGAAATTTCGATTTTCGAAAAATTGATGATATAATTAATGATCGATATCCGAAAACTGACAGACAATCCGGAATGGCTCCAGATCAAAGAATCATGGAATTTCAGGCACTTATTTTGCCGGCTAGAAGGCAAAAAAGTTTTATCTCCCAAATTATTATTTAAATTTTGATTTTTCACTTTATCCGTACAAAAAATCTGATTTTTAAAAGCGTATGCAAGTTAAATATATTTAATAGCACTTTTGTCGGGTGTATCTTTTATTTCATTTTCTTATGAATTAGACTATATATATAGTATGTTCAGCTATACTTTTCGTTTAAAAAATGTATGTTTTATCTCCTATGGACTCTTTTTCTCGGAATACTACGACATATCTCTCCACATGCTGTATAGCGGGACAGTCAGCTTCGACACAACAATATAATAGGGCATAGAATAGGTAGTGAGTAGGTACAAATTCTTGGGACCCAAGATGGCGCCTTTGTACACTAGACCAATGCCCTGTATAGGGAAAGTTACAACAACACATTTACAGGCGCCATTTTGGGCCCCAACTATGACGCCATAAAAACTATGACGTCATGGTGTCATGTAGCTTTACTTATAATAACAAAACGTTTTATTTTTTTCTTGGTATAACGTTTTACGGGCTACAATTTATCCTAAAAAAATTGCAAAAGAAACCAATGCAGTTTAGTTCAATGATAATATGTCAGACAAAATCATACTCAAAATCGGCCAAGGCAAAATGACATGATTAACATAATTCAATTTGGCGTTCTTCAGGAATTATCGGAGCGCTATATCGTAATCAGTGTATTTCAGTGGTGGTAGGATAAATAATTTATTTTTAAATTCCTCAAACACAGAGTGGTTATGCAAGCGAAGTGTGTCGAAAAATCGAATTTGACAAACATCAATTTAAAAATGTATTTTTCATTTGATGGCGGGCATTTCTTTCAAAATAACTGCCAAATTTTAAAAAAATAAACCCCCATTAATTTGGTAATAAAAGGGCAGCGATAATCTCAAAAATTTAATTTCGAGAATTCTTGATGGTAGAAATTCAAAATGGCCGGCAAAATGAAATCCAAAATGGTGGAATTTTCATTAATCGTCATTTCTTTCCGTTGGGTATGACTTGTAATATGTGGTATATTAATCACGAAATGACATAGTTGCTCATAAATAAATATATTGTTAACGCATTTAAACATCTAGATGCAAAAGACAAGGTGTAAAAACTTCTAGCTACATTGAAATGTTGGCAATAAAGATCCAATCATAGTTTTTAGTTATAAACTGTTAACCACCTGTAGATGTTATAAAACGCATAATTTATTCAGCTCGACGCAAGATTTAAAATGAATAGATGCGGTTCGTTTAACTTGAATGTAGATATATCATGCATATATATATAGGACCTTTCGGTTGAATCATACCATAGGAATATCTTATTTGCATAGTTTTACGTATTTGTCGACATTAAGGTGTATGTGTTCTATAGTTCCATTTAGCCTATACATTTTCTTGTTTCACTTGACTAAACAAAACATTGTGTAGGAATGTAGGCTTTTATAGATTAAACAAAAAGCTGATAAATGTTGAGATGTGTGGAACATGCTCGAGGCGATTTGTAACAAATCTCAGGCACGATATACTCTTCAAAAAAAGTAGGGGATATTAAAATGCAAATACCTATGCAGGTTGTAATATGATAAATAGTCATGGACACTAGACATGCTTTGAGAGTATGTTCACAGATGAAGAACTTATCGCCCCAACAGAGCCACTGAGCGGCACATGCGACACGCAATAGCGCCATACACGTGGGCTCATTGTCAAATTTGACACCTTAAAGAAGGGTTGATGAAAACTGCCGCGTGCTGGTTTATCTATCCATGCTTGCTTTCCTATCGGTTCTTGCATACGATTTACTGTTTAACGTATCTTTGCTTTAGTGTGTTACGTTTAATTTGATCGGGGGATGTGTTCGTCGACGTCAACGGACAACACTGCAAGAATTAGCCGTCGCACTGCAAGAGGAGTGGGTCAGATTGCCCCAAATCGTGACTGGACGGTTCATTAAGAGCATGCCACGACGAATTGCTGAGTGCCTGAGGATTGGTGGAGCAAATACTCATTATTAAGACACAAATCAAAAACATTCATCTTCACTTTTGACGGTGTATCTATTTGCGAGTGTAAAGGAACCGCCAGATAAGCCGCCCATATGAAATGTTTATATTCATGTGTAGGGAATTGGCCTTGTATTAACATACACTGGTTACCTCTAATAAAAACAGCAGTGCATTTATATGGTAGAACGGCGTTTTACAATAAGCTTTATAATATAGTCACACATTATTAAATTCATTTTTTTGTTTATATCTTTCACTTACCGACCACAAACGAAATGTACATTTTAGGTATTTCTCAATAACAATTTGACACAACAATTATATATATTTGTATATTATATTTATTTATTGTATTTTATTATATGTTTATATTGTATCTGATACCTCGCACGTCTTAAAAAAAAGTAGATATGTGCTGGTTATTATAACTTTTATAAAACGATGTTATAGTTATTTTAAAGCAACTAAATCGCTAATATATGGACCTAGAAATTGACTCAAACGGGTCGCAAGGCAGATAATAATGTAATATGAATGTATATAAACTGATTTAAATTCAATCGTTTCTGGTTTTACTGTAATTTCTAATCAGATATGTTCGGCGAAATACGCCAGAAGTCTCAATCTTATGGCAATCCCTAGCGTCTGGTTATTCCAGTCTACGCGGATAGTATTTATTGCGCATGCTCTCCAGATAAGAATATGACGTCAACGTTTGACATGACTTGTGGAATATGTCTAGCCCGTTCCTCGCGCCCCTTGTTACAAATGGCGCTGAAACGCATTATGGTACACGATTCGTGTACCAATGGTAAAATGTTTATTTTGTTTCAAATATTAGATATTAGAAGCCTATCTTTTTCCGGTAAGACCACGACACCAATGCTGATTTAAATTGACATTTAATCCGTGTTTCAATGTCGAATATTTTGGATGATATTGAGTTAGAGACTTAGCTACTTTAAACGTCTGAGGGAGAGAACAACCGAGTTAATTATAATCCACGCAAATGAAACTGCTTCAGATTAATTAACTAATTATCAACAGCTTGGATACGGCTTGACGGTATTGCCTAATTAATGGTGATAATTGGATTATCTCAGATTAAACAGGTAAAATTTACGAGTATCAATAATCTATTAGACCGCAGTTTGCCTTTAACCCACCAATTACAGGTATGACAATGATGTGAATTGAATAAGTCGAACAATAACAGGTCACCCTCCAGTTAACAGTGAGCTAGTTGATAATAACGACAGGTAATCTGGTCTGCGATATCTAAATTGTCGAAGCAGACGTTAGATCACCAGCAACTATTCTACTAAAACGTACGGAGGTTGAGATATCGTGTGAAATACGTTAATCAATAGATTGGATTGTTAAGAGTATACTTCTGAAATCAAGACAAGAAAGAAATCCTTGAGGAGAGACAGACGGAAGACGTCCCTTCAATCAGCATCCCGAATGTCGACGTAGAATCTAGGATATCAACATACCTGTTGAATTATCTGATCGTACTATTGAATGGAGATATAAATTGTAACGTTTGATTCGTTGTATGCAGCCATAACGATAAGGTAAATATAGTTTTGTTTGTCAACCGGAAGGGAACAGTATCACCATTAAACTTCCCGGTTAATACGGTTCATGTAGGTTAATATGGGACAGTTTTTATTCACGTCTATTTAAATTCACTTTGCCATCGCAGTCTCATGTCGTCGGTATCAGGAAAAATTTCACTTTCTACTGCCGACAGAGCAAGATGCCATTTTTTAAAAATTTTGTTTATATCTTTAAAAGTCTTGTCATGTTTATTTTTGATATCACTGGTTTAGACCAGGTCATAATAATAGTCTGCATGAGAAACAAGATCACATGGGAGCACATGGGAGCACATGGGCGTCACACATGGGTGGGGGGGGGGGTTCGACCTCCCCCCCCCCATTGTTTTTCGGGGGGGGGGGGGGGTCTGAATATACTTGGACCCCCCAAAACAATTTACATAGTAGGCCCTAACTCCTATTTATTAACAACAATTATTAGGATTAGTTAAGATTCTATCTGTATAAAACAATGTACAAATTAAAACACAAACACTTATGTTTACTTTTTGAAATCCATTTATAATACATAAAATGTACTAAATATTTTAATTATCTATACAACTTTCTTGTAAATGTCAATGTGTATATGTATATAGTATTGTAGTTAACAAGGTGATTGTCAAATATGCTTCCTCATAAACTAAAGTTATGTGATCAAGTTTTGTTTCATTTGGATCCTCTTCATAAAAATTTCCCTACTAAACTCTCTTTGTCGTGTTGTTCATAACTCAAGCGTAACATTCAATATGTAAAAGTCATGAACAAAATATGAATACGGCACCCCCTGACTTAAAGGAGCTAAATCGCTAATATTTAAAACCTAGAAATTGACACAAGTGGGTGGCAACGCATATAATAATGTAATATGAATGTATATAAACTGTTTTACATTCAATCGTGTCCGTTTTACTGTGAATTGTCATCAGTTATGTTCGGCGAAATACGCCAGAAGTCTCAACCGCAAGTCAGTTTCTAGCGTCTGGTTATTCCAGTCAACATCGATATTATTTATTGCGCATGCTCTCCAAATAAGAATATGATATTACCGTTTGACATGACTTGTGGAATATGTCTAGCCTCATTCTTTAGGCACCTTGTTACAAATGGCGCTGAAACGCATTATGGTACACGATTCGTGTACCAATGGTAAAATGTTTATTTTGTCTTAAATATTGGATATCAGAAGCCCATCTTTTCCAGGTAAGATCACAACACTAATGCTGATTTAAATTGCAAAAAAATTCGTGTTTTCAATGTCGACGATTTTGGATGATATTGAGTTACGGACTTAGCTACTTTAAACATGATAAACATTGTACTGGTGTGATGTTTTAGTTTAACCCCGTAAAATATGCCAAAACAGTGTTTACAGAAGACTGAAACTTTAAAAATAAAATTATGGGGGTGCCCCCCCCCCCCCCCCGCAGTGGGAAGGCGACCCTCCCACACCCTCCCTATCGCGCTACATCGGCTGCTGCACTGCCTCGTGCCTCCGGCGTCACAGATTTTCAACATTTTATATACATGTAATTTCATTTGCGGACCCCCTCCAACATATATTCCACGGCTACGCCCCTGCATGAGAGCACAAAAGCCCCAAGATTTATATGGTTAGGGAGGGTTGGCGTGCGCGTTGTATGATAAGGTCTGACATTTTGAGTCCTAAATCGACGATCTTAGTCGAAAAACTTAAGTATACTTCGAGAAGTTTGAGAAGTATTTATTCCGCTTCCATTTAATTAAATTGAAAGTGTTTAATTAATCGTCGTGTGCATGACAGATGTGAAACGGAGTAGAACCGCGTTACAAAAGAGTATATAATTTTTTTATATATGGTGGACATTCAGGACAGAGATCAATTCTCAAAATAGATAGTTTTCTGTGTGCAGAATGACGTATGATGTTCAGCCTTAAGTTGGTGTCGAGACTAGTTTGCAACAAAATGGTGTCACTTTAGCTTGCCCTTAAGTTTTCATCAGTGAAGAATTATTTTGTCTTTATTACTTCTCATGCGTTACGGGTATTTTCCAGACAAATCTAGCTGTCATCTTACTTTGACTTTGGTAATTAAAATCCTTCTTTTATAAAAAAAAAGAAAATGATCCAGGGACTTTGCCTACGGTTCATTAACTACAGGACGTTATAAATAGTTTCTTTATTTGAGCTAAGCCATGCTGAAAACGCAACCTTGTCGCCCATGCACTCTTCGAGCTAGCTGTCCCTTCAATGAATACTTAACTACTGCGTCCCGAATATTGATGTAGAATCTAGGATATCGACATACCTATTGAATTATTGGAATTTACTATTTAATTGAGATATAAATTGTAAAACTTGATGCTTGGATATTACGACTGGTAGATGTATATGTTTTCTATTTAGTGATAGGGGAGAGACATAGGATTCGATCGCGCGATTTATACAGCCATAACGACAAGGTTAGTAGTTTTGTTTAGCAACTCAGGGTGCCGCGGCGGCTCAGTGAGTAAGACGTTGGCTTGGTAACCTGGGGTCCCCTGTTCCATTCGGGTGTTGGTCGAGAAAGTGCATCGGGATTTTCTGGCGTGGTTCCCCTTGTCAGAGTCGTAGTGCCGCTGCCCGGGCTAAACTTATCTCATAGCGCACTGTATGATACCCTTCTTCATTAGTCAAGTCATTGCAAAAAGCAGGACATTGTCCAGAAAGGGTTGTTCGATGCACCCGATTGGAATTTGCAGGAACTCAGTTAAACGAAGGTTTGAGTTCCGTGGGCATTAAATCACACTAAAAGCTTATGGAATAACAATTACTGCAATGGTTCGACGATGGTTCTCTGGTCTTTATCCAGGATTTTATTCATATAGCACACTATATCCTGGATCCATGAAAATAGAACGTTAATCCCCGTTCAATTTCATAGTCGCCCGACGTTCCACGGATAAAAAGTGTTAACGAATGTTTCATAAACATAATCTTAGATTGTCAATTTCAGCATTATATGCGACACAAAATATATAATAAATAGCACCTATATATTTATTGTAAAAAGGATAGGGTTACTATGAAGTTTATTAAAACATTACAAAACACACCCATTTTTTTTACAGTATATAAATACACTAAATAACCCAATCATATAAACTTGACCGGTAAAATAAACTAACAAAAAGACATTGAAAAGAAATTGAGTGACACAAAATATGTCTCCACCCGTATGAGCCCATATTTTAAATAGAACGTTAATCCCCGTTCAATTGCATAGTCTCCCGACGTTCCACGGATACAAAGTGTTACCGAATGTTACATGAAACATTGTAATCTTAGATTGTCAATTTCAGCATTATATGCGACACAAAATATATATAATAAATAGCACCCATATATTTATTGTAAAAAGAATAAGGTTATTATGAAGTTATTTATAACATTACAAAACACGCCCATTTCTTTGAAATATATACTCTTCAAAAAAAAGTAGGGGATATTGAAATGCAAATACCTAAGCTCAAATACTATGGAAGACCAAATGGGACAATATTCATGATTCTTGTTTCTACATTCCAGTTTGAACATTTTAGACACGAACGCAACATTCTAAACTAATGATTCTTGTTTCTACATTCGTATGTCAACATTTCATGCACAAAATCAACATTTTAAACAAAAAATTGACTTTATGTTTCATTTTCGGTGTTTTATCGGTAACTTTTATATATCATTAAATATTAAGATTAAAAAATAATTTCTTAATTTTACACGACAAAGAAATCAATTCATTGGTTTCTGAAAGTATCTAAAAAAAATCTGGAATTTGAACTCTTATGAAAATATTTTCTACGTTTCAAAAAGTCTTGAAGTTAAAATCTTGAAATGGAAATGTCCAGAAAAATATAATGAATTATCAACATTATTACACCAGAGGGCGTTAGCGTATGTGTACAACTTTGATACAAACTATAGATTTATCATTCATTTTTACCACATTCGAAACACGCTTAGGCCTAATTTGCAAACACTATCCTATAGTTATAGTTATAATGAAAAAGTAAACAAATAACAGTGAATAGATTCCATTTAAAACACAGCATTATCATCCATTTTTGCCATATTCGAAACACGTGTAGGTCTTATTTGTAAACATATGAAAAAGTAAACAAATAACAGCGAATATGTAAGAAAGGTCTTTGTCCTAATTTTTCTAGCCGTTTAAATTATAGAAGTTATTTGTATTGTTATTATATCTCGAGCTTAATTTCTGTTTCATGCAACTAATTACTGTAAACACAATATGGGCCCACTTCCACTCGTGGAAAAGTCTACTTTTGATTTCTAATCTATAGTCTGTATCAAAGTTGTACACAAACGCTAACGCCCTCTGGTGTAATAATGTTGATAATTCATTATATTTTTCTGGACATTTTCATTTCAAGATTTTAACTTCAAGACTTTTTGAAACGTAGAAAATATTTTCATAAGAGTTCAAATTCCAGATTATTTTTTAGATACTTTCAGAAACCAATCAATTGATTTCTTTGTCGTGTAAAATTAAGAAATTATTTTTTAATCTTAATATTTAATGATATATAAAAGTTACCGATAAAATGCCGAAAATGAAACATAAAGTCAATTTTTTGTTTAAAATGTTGATTTTGTGCATGAAATGTTGACATAAGAATGTAGAAACAAGAATCATTAGTATAGAATGGATTGCGTTAGTGTCTAAAATGTTCAAACTGGAATGTAGAAACAAGAATCATGAATATTGTCGCATTTGGTCTTCCATAAAATACAAACTATTTGTTTATTATTATTATTTCCTATTTTTTATTTTTAATTTTGAAAAATAATTTTATTTTTAATTTTAAAAAATAATTTCTATTTTTAATTTTGAAAAATAATTTCTATTTTTAATTTTGAAAAATAATGTCTATTTTTAATTTTGAAAAATAATTTCTATTTTTAATTTTGAAAACTAATTTCTATTTTTAATTTTGAAAACTAATTTCTATTTTTAATTTTGAAAAATAATCTCTATGTTTAATTTTGAAAAATAAATCTATTTTTAATTTTGAAAAATAAATCTATTTTTAATTTTGAAAAATAAATCTATTTTTAATTTTGAAAAATAAACCTATTTTTAATTTTGAAAAATAAATCTATTTTTAATTTTGAAAAATAAATCTATTTTTAATTTTAAAAAATAAATCTATTTTTAATATTGAAAAATAATTTCTATTTTTAATTTTTGATTTTGTAGAATAAATTTTAATTTTGTACTTTTTTTATTTCCACAACATGTAATCAGTAATCACTATTATGCTTAGGTTTAGCTCTATTCTTTGGAACCTTAAAATAGACGAAAATGTTTTATATTAGTTGTAATACACAAGCAGTCCAGCGTATGATTTAAAGCGTACATGTTAAACAATTTGACAATGCTTGGTGATACGAGCTTAGTACGATTCCATAAAATCTTCTGTTTTGTATTTCTATTAAAACATAAGTTCTTGACACTGTCCATTAACCGAAGTAATACAGACCCGGTATTTTTAAGTGTCTCGAGAAATAATCGGAAGACGAAAGAACCCGGGATGATAGAAAACATGAGGCCATTACATATTTCATTATTTCCATGGTCCATATTTCATGATCTAGAGTACATAACCTTTACTACATTCCACGGTTTATATTTTATGTTCTATATTCCATGGTTAATATTCTACTGTTTATATTTGATGAGTTATATTCCACGGTTTATATCATATCTATTTATTATTATAGATAATGGGTTTATTCAGACGATACAATCATGATCTATAGTACATAACTTTCATTACATGATCTACATTCTACGGTTTATATTTCATGATCTATATCCCATGGTTAATATTCCACGGTTTATATTCCACTGTTTATATTTGATGATCTATATCTATTTATTATTGCAGATAATGGGTTTATTCAGAAGAAACAATCACCTGTATGTCATATTTATTGTAACATGTTTCATGTTGATTTACATCACAATCAATTACAGATCATCACTCAACAACCAGGCACCGCCAGAAACTCCACATAACCCTTTACACAGGTACGAATTAAATATTCACTGCTGTAAATTTTCTCCCTCTGTCTCTAAATGTTATTTTAGTCCCCAGCAATGAGTTTTCCCTTTTAATTTTGAATGGGTTCTATTATTTTTGCTTACTCTTTCTGGTAATATTCCTCGGATAACTAACAGTATTGTTTGTACTTTTGTTTGTAACCCCCCCCCCCCCCCCCACCACTAAGGTACGATATTCGTGCCAAAACATTATGCAGTTCTTTCTATCATCGTTCGTCGCTGCTATATGGGTCAGCATTATTTTATTGAAAGTAAGGATACTCCATTGACATATTTCTCTAAAGTATCACATTTCTCAAGGCTTAATCCACCCTAATATGTACCCTGATTGATTATTTCACTTTTAATTAAGCAAATAAAATTAAAATACCGGCTTGGGTTCAATCGGATTTAAATCAGACCTATCAGTAGATTTTCGTGAACCACAAAATGGCGTTGGGCCTATTACGTGGCGAGGATCAATGAAATTTCAATGCCACATTTAATTATTTGTACATACTGAATGGAACTGAACCATTTTCGGGCTGATGTTCCTATTTGACATCCATCTATCACAATATTGCAGGTTTCAAGGAATTCAACTAAATGACGCATCGAGACTTTAATTCTAATCGGCACCAAGCTCATATTTCATGACTTAAGTGGGCCAGCAACATCATCAGGTATTATTCTATTTGTACACAGGGGGCATCATCCACTGTAAAGTTGTTTTTTTTTTTTGTGTAATTTCAGGCGATATAGAAAACAGGCCGGTAGTTTATATATTTTAAACAACGAAATTATATCTGATAATTCAATACATGATATACAAAATATACAAGATGTTTATTACGTTCATATAACACGGTAAGCTATTATATACAAGATTATTATTACATTATATCTTTGTTATGTTCATATAAACGGTAAGTTATTATACATGCATACAAGATTATTATTACGTTATATCTTTGTTATGTTTATATAACGCTGCGAGTTATTATCAAGATTATCATTACGATATCTTTATTATGTTCATATAACGCGATGAGTTATATACAATATATTTATTATATTACGTTCATATAATGGTTAAATAGAAGAAGCCTATATGTTTTAATTAAACTTTTATATAATGGATAAAATAAAACCAAGTACGAACAATCCAAACCATAAGACAGAATTCGAAGTCCTAAAAAACGTTACTGGCAAAATAATGTATTCGAGCTAAATAGTGTAATCAGCAAATGGACTGCTCCTCGTGTACAAAATACACGACAAACAGTGGTAACAGGTGTCCGGAAGAGTACGCTTACCCTGCCTGGAGTAATTTATAGACCAGGATTTCTAGCTTGTGATCTGCCTTATTTTGAAGTAAACACTGTCCAATTCGGTGCGCGTTAGATCACAAGGTCTGTCGCTGAGTCAGGTGGTGCGGTTTGGAGTTGGCACCCCAAGAGAATGACCTATATTGCCAGTCCAAGGGATCTCTCTCTCTTCAAATCACAATTACCCGACCTGACTCGTATCCTTTATATTGTCTATGTTATAGGCCAATACTTGTGAAAATGTAGGCCGAGTACATTATGTAACATGATCTGTAACTTTATGTCTAAATATTTGTTTAAAACTAACCGAGTTCGGTGACAAATCGTTATCTTTGGGCGACAAATATGTAGAGTACTATTCATTCAACGTTATAACTTTTGATCAAAACGTATACGCAACGTGCCCCAGACGATGAAGAGAAACATGTCTGTAATAATCAGAAATTGAAAAAAAAAAAATAACGCGTCTTGATGTCTTGTCTTGTCAGTGAATGGCACTGTGCTCGATTTCGGTGTTAATCGAGAAGTTGCTTGAATTTTCCAGCCTCGCTCCCCTCCCCCGCCACTTAGCGGGTTAGTTCGACGGGGTCTGACAAGGCAAAATTATTCGATGGGCGGCAAAACGTTGTACTTGTTGGTATGCTTGTAAAGAAGACCGCGATTGTTTGAATTCCGTGTAGAGTAGGCGAATGAAAACACCGTTATTAATAGGCAAAATTTATATCACAGCACACTGCATGGCGTATGGCCTCTACATTTGTACTGTATATTGTATTTTGTATTGTAGTGTGTGGTATATTGTATATATTATTGTATTGTGTTGGTACTGAAATGTATATTGTATTGTATTGTATTTGTGTACTGTATTGCATTGTGTTGTATGGAGCGCTGGTCATTTAATAGTGATACAGATGCTATAGATTTGGGTATCATTTCGTTTTGACGACCAAAGCGGACTGGACACGATCTGAAGCTGACCCAATCCCGCCCCTGAATGCACCACAGTAGTTTAATATGATCGCCCACATCTGCCCGCATCTCCATTTTATATTAAGATATTGAAGACTTTTTTTTTATTTCTACAGGTCTGTGCGATCCATGGTTGACGGTATTAAAATGTCCATTGAACAAGGTGCTTCGTGGATTTATCTCCCCTCATCAAATCAACATCTACGTCAAACCTTGATGAAATTCAATCTCGGACAACAGTCAAACAGTTTAGTTTATACAGGACCAAATAAAAATGATGTGGGTTTTCATTTCATAGCCAGAGATTTCAACTATCCTGCTGATTTTAAACGCAGTTACATTATGGGAAAATATGAAACGCCATCCATTCAAACGGTTTTCCATGCCGACTCTGAACAGTTGAATTTTATGGACTGTCGTGCTCCCCCCGTGGCGGTCCGTATCTCCTCACTTTACCCTTTTACTCAACATAACACCTTGTATTCATATAAAGCATTCTGGGCTTTGATTCCTCTTCAAATAAACTCGGCTGTCTGGTCCATGTGGACGGGGAGGTTAGTGAGGGAACTCGAAGACTATATAGTGTTTCATGCTCCTCCTTCCACGGAAATTCTGGGGACCAGTGAAGGTGAACACGGACATGCATTGGGAGAAATTAGGGACGTGCTACACAACTGGAAGTGTGACCAAAGTGCAACGTTTTTCACGTGCATGATGGATTTGAGTGATTTTTTAAAAGACAAAGCCGTATTTACTGACGATGACGTTTCCATGGTTACAAGATGGATACAAGAATTATTATCCAGTGGATATTCCGGACCCGAGAGAAAAACACAGAACATAAAAATTAATTTTTTACACAATATGTTATTCTGGCCTTCCAGGGGAAATGTCAAGAAGGCTAAATTAACAGAGGTCTTTGGTGGGTTGTGTTCTAAGACCAAATCAATATGTAACGCCGTGCCAGAAGGAAACCACCCGCGTGTTTTTAGTAATATTTTACTAATAATTGTTTTCAATAAGAAAGGATTTTACCGTGTTATTGACCACCTAGAAACTTTATATCGCCCTCATTTCCATCAAATATTATACTGTGCTCACAATCTGACTGATTTCTCACAGACTTACAAAACTCTTAAAAACAAAGAGATCTCCTTTCTCGATGTTAACTTCGGTAACGGTCAATCCGGAAATCAGTGTATCCAGAACGCCAGAACTCTAAACTACGATGTGGATGGTTACCTTCACTTGGGTGACGACGTTATGTTTAATATTTGGAATTTATCTCCACTCCCGTTAGACAAACCTTGGTTCCAGAAAGACATGCTGATTGGGAAACTCAGCCAAGATAAAGTTAAGGACGTTTGGACGGATCCCGACTGGTGGCCATGGAAATCTAACTATCGTGGTGTCAGAAAACTTAAATTTACCTTCAATGAGCTTCAAAAGCAGCAAGAAATTACTCCTAAAATCAAAACGTTCTTGGATACATTAGCCGTAAATAGCGGTGGTCCTGAACGTGCATTTTATCAGGCTTCCGATATTCATTTTATCCCAGCCAAATTAGCAGACGACTACAACTACTTCATGGAATTCTTTGACAAGTGGATTGTTTATTTTGAGATCGCGATACCCACTGTAATTAACGGATTGGTTCTAAATAAGGACATCTACAGACTTCCTGGAGTTTATCTCTGGTTTACTGACAGACAATATTACAGAGACAGATATAAACAATCAGATGTCTTCTTTCATCCGTTAAAGCTGGCGTCATGTGAAAATAATGCTGTGTGTTCTAAATTTTACTGTGAAAAATATTTATCATGCTGGGAAAAATTCTAATAATAAAGTCTTTGATCACGTTATAATGTTTTATTCTTAATGCATGATTAGGGTACGTCTAAACATTATAATTGATTTTTTATTTAAAAAAGTATTTTATTCATAATTGAATGGGACTGGAGAACTGGGTCCGTACTCATGCATTATGCAAGAGCTAAATCCGCCTATTGTAAGTATTTGTTTAGGCCTCAAATTTTATCTAAATTATTAATTAGACATTAATTAACTTATCCAGATCATAACCAACTCTCGATGCCATCGCTAGACAGCGATATTTAGCAGATTGAAATACATTTTTTGAAAAATAATTATACGTAAAAATGGATAATCAAGACTTTGTTTTTTATCGTACCGACTTTAGTAATGATGATCCGGGGTAGCCTAAAATTCAAAAGCTAATATCTCGGTTTAGAGTGGAGAGATTTGGCTGAAATTTTCAGCATATTCTATTTGCGTTATCTATTATTTTATCTATTATAGCAAACTCTTTATCTAATCTCCCATAATTCCTCTTTATGTCTAAATTAGTACATTTCACTTAAATATACGTAACTTCCTGTAAGTTAAGGGTTAGTGGTATTCAAGTGGCAATGTTAAGTATCATTTTTTCCCTTAAAGTTAGGTTGCCTTAATTTTAAATGTTTAGTTATTAGTGGTATTCAAGTGTCAGTTTAGGTGAGAAATATCCACTTAACTTTAAGTGGCCTCTGAGAGGTTAAGTGAGATCATAATGACTTTTTTTAACCGGAGTACACCATGTTGCAAGGACGATATTAAAAGTATGGGATTTGAGATTGAAACAAAGACAATGTTACCGAGCGTATCTGACCTCATTTTTTTTCATCATCAGCTTTGTATATATCGTAATAATAATATTGTATATGGTTACTACCACCGATATGGTCAAGGATATATTTTGTTCCGATCATTCATCATGTTCACATATAATATTTCGACAAACATTTCTCAGCAGTGACAACTAATATTTGAGTAGTGGTAGAGGACATAATTTGCCGTCGCATTTAGGAATTCGTGATTTTTGGCGTTTTCCGGTATTCCGTAAGTTAAGTGTGCAGTTAAGTTCTCACATAGTAATAGCGAAGGATATGAAAAATACAGCCTTTGAATAACAATATAAGGTATGAAATATTTTACGCACACAAGTAAAGTATTTTTGATATTATTTCAGTTTTCTATCGATATTCAGCGTTCTGCAACCTCCCTTTGCGGGAAATCCCTGTAAACTCTATGGAGGCTGATGTTTTTTAAAAATATTTTTCATCTTCGATGTGAAGCATTTGGATTTGGGACAATGGTGGGGGGGGGGGGGTGCTATCGATTTTCACAATGTGGACGCAGCTTGCTTAAGGAATTCACAGCGTATGTGTGTGTGCGGTGGGGGAGGGGCGGGTCGGCTTTGCTATAATTTAATATCTGAATTATCATCATTTCCGGTTTCTCGATCCAATCTCATAGAAAATAAGATAATGTTTATAAACCAATACAAACACAAAACAAAAAAACCTCTGTTCAACTGATGTATTTCTATATTACTCAAATATTATCAGAATAATTTAGTGTTGTACGTAAAATATTTTATATATCTTTAGAGAAAAAAATGTCCTAATATCGAGAACGAATATTGCAAAAAAAGAGGCTAAATCAATCGATATGACCTTATTACGGCAAATGCACGACAACGTATCCTATTTATTCATCTGAAACATATCTAGAATAATTTGCTTTTGTACGTAAAATATTTTATTAGTTTTGACAGAAAAATGTCGTCATGTGTGACGGATTATGAAAAAGGCACAATTCCACATGTCCTCAATGGGCCACCATTATAGTAAACAGCGCCACCTTTTAACATAATGAGCGTTGCAATTATGACTCCCTTTTAACCCGTTGTGATAAGTCATAAATCTAACTCTCATTATGGTAACAGGTGGCGCTGTATACTATAATGGTGGCCCCTTGAGGACACGTTAAATTGTGCCTTTTTATATAACCCCAAAAACACGACATTTTTTCTTTCAAACATAGGTACAAAAGTAAATCGCTCTCGACAATTTTGAAAAAAAGTCTATTCCATATCTTTATCATGTACACATACATTTTAAGTTTTAAAAGAATTGAATAAAAATTGTGATCTCTTGAGGACCCACAAGCTATGTGTGCGACTTTCGTACGATTAGGAGCTATAATCCAAAATCTTATCGTGAGATAAGTGTAAAAATCGAAATCATCCGAGATCTTTGAGATATCAACATATAGTTTAAGTTTCATCAAAGTCGGATAACAAGTTGTGACCCGTAGACACACGTACCGACAGAGGTGATGGCATAATACGTGCACATGGAAATATGGGTGGATGTAACATCTTGAAAGCATAATATGTATCGGTGTATTCCCACGAAGGCGCAGTTACAGAGCGTGACCAAAATTAATCCTTCCCACGAAGGCGCGGATATCCACTTGTCGGCTTTCGTGTGAAGAGAGGCATGTTGCTATTGGGATCCAATTAACGGTGTTAAAGATTTTATGAATTTATTTCACTCTGAACCAACAACACTCTGGAAGGATGGCATGCAAGAATCAAGAAGCTAGTTGGAAAAGCCCATCCGAATGTTTTTGAAATGATCACATTTTTAAAACAAGAACAAAATATTAACCACCAAGGAAGAGATATAAATATGCTCAATTCCAAAGCCAGCCCCAGGAATTAAAAGGAAGATACGAGGAAGAGGAATTGACTTTAGTCAAGTATTTAGACAGGTCTTATTTGGCGAAATTAAATTAATTTTTGTTATAGTGTAGTTATGTTTTCATTTCTTATGCCAAAAATGATGCTAAAATGTTGGTTAATTAGTTACATTGGGGATTATGAAAGTGTAAATTCTTATCATAACAATCTATAACGCCATTGTTACGATTTTAATCCATTTTAATCCCTAGGAGCTATATTCACACGAAGTCGTCGAAAATGCCCGCTTTTAATCCGTTACGGTCAATAACTGCGCCTTCGTGGGAATAAACCTATGTATCTATACTACCCTATGTTGACTAATCAATTTTAAGGTTATGTACCTTTACAGTCCTGTCAAGTATCATTGGTATAAATTTATTGGTTCAAAATTTATAGGCATGGAAACATTAAAATATAAGAAGGAAGGGTGGTGACAATTACCCCGCAGCCGGAACTCCTCAACGGGAGTATAATATGGGACTTTGAGAGGATGTAAACAATGTAGAACTATACCAATTTTAGATTCGTTTAATTATGACACCAAACTATAGAATGAGATCAATAAGGGCGATGAATTATTCGCCCAATCCCCAAAGATTTGGAAACCGGTGATCTGGAATAAAGTTTAACGTCCTGCTGTTATGCACCCACATTGCTAATGAAGACGGGCATACCCCACGAAGTGTGCAATGTCAGGGGATTTGATACAGACAGGGACGCTATGACCTACTCTTGGTGCACGCCATTGGGTTTTCGTCCCATTAAGACTTTCCTTGTCAGGCACTGACAGGTGGAAAGCACGCCGGAAAACCTGAAGAACTTTCTCTTCCAACTCCGGGAGGGAACCCGAAACCTCCTGGTTACCGAGCCAGTGACTTACTCACCGAGACACCGCGCCTCCCGATGATTTGGAAGCCTGGCCCGATATAGATAACTTCAAAGATATCAAAAATACTCTACTCGTGTGCATAAAATATTTCATAATTTTGAAGCGAAGAGATAAGCTAAACTAAGCATTACCGAATTATATTTATTTATTCACTTTCATGCATGACGTAATGAGTTCTTGCTATATATAATTCTTTTAGAAAACAAATACGTCAAAACAATCGATAGTGCATTATTTGTGAAAATGCGCGTTAAAATGGCCTATTTATTTATCAAATAAAATATCTAAAATACTTTGCTTTAGTACGTAAAATATTTTATTATTTTTGACAGAAAAATATCGTCATGTCTGTCGGGTTGTGGAAAGGGCGCGATTTTACATGTTCCCAATAAGCCACTATACAATTGTAAACAGCGCCGTCTATTACCAAAATGAGCTTTTTTATGGCGCCTTTACCACGAAACATTTGTCAAATGTCCAAATGTTAACGAAGTTAAACTGACTACACTAAATTAAGAGTAATAATGGAAATAGAACAACATACAAATTCTAACTGCCATAATTAAAAAATAAGTTATATAAATTAGCATTTTTACATATTTAAATAGCCAATTTAACATGTGTTAGTAAGAAGTTACATGCATAGAAGTAAGCATATTAGCATACGCATTACTAGCTTAGGAATTAGAATTATGAGGGAAATTCCGCTCCATAGGTCAGTAACTATAAAAACACTGTTGGTGTCAAATGTTAGTTGGATACGAAATCTTTCGATAAAAATTAAGACGTTGAAATAGCAGAACAAACCTTTAGAGTCCATTCGAGGTTTAGATATTATATTCCCTCCACCAGTTTCATATTCAGCAATGGGCCGAGATCCGGGCAAAGACGATGCACAACATCCCGATACAGATTCACAACAAACACTTCTAGGTAATACGGGTCCATATTCAATCCAATATGCTTCACTGGGAATTGGTTTTGGTAAGAGATATAATACAGATCTTACCAGATACTTTATGTTACCGGAATTGAACTAGTCTAAATTTCTGATTGAAAAATAACTTTAAAGTAGCTAAGTCTCTAACTCGATATCATCAAAAATCTTCAACATTAAAAACACGAATTATTTGTCAATTCAAATCAACATTGGTCTTGTGATCTTACAGGGAAAAGACGGGTTTCTGGTATCCAGTATTCAAGACAAAATATACATTTTACCATTGCTACACGAATCGTGTACCATAATGCGTTTCAGTGCCATTTGCAACAAGGGGCTCAAAGAACGAGGTTAGACATATTCCACAGGTCATGTCAAATGGTGACGTAATATTCTTATTTGGAAAGCATGCGCAATAAATACCATCGGTGTAGACTGGAATAACTGTAGCACCATGGGTCTTTTGTCGGACGTGGAGAGCGGGCAATTGATTCCGGTCGCCACATCCTACGTATGACCCATGCATCTTTTCTTACTACATATCTTAGTAGCCTTGTGGCCGTCTAGTACATGTATTTTCACTTGTTGTCTTTGCTTCCCTTTCACGTTGTGTATTTACTTCTTACTGTTTTCTCAGTTAAAACATTTGTCTTACCAGGAATAACA